GCGCTGAATGTAGGTTAGATATTTTCCTCTAACAGTACAAGTCTGTCTGTATGTATATATGTACACGTATTTTTCAAATAATGACTACAGAGAATACTACTCTTCCGTTAAGTCTGATAAACATGCAGTCTCTGTAATACATCTGATCTAGTGGCCAACCTTAAGTATGCTTCAAAATCAAAGCAGTTGTGATACGGAACACAGTTTTTATGTGAGCTAAACTAAGTCAACGTTTAGCTTCACTACATGGATATAACCTTACAAAAGCTCTGATAAAGCAGAAGTTCTCATAAAGTAATGATATGCACATAGACTGAGTGACAACAACTCCCACATTTTCAAATCCACAAAGACTAGCAGAGGTGCTTAATTTTGGGCACTATATTCAACATCATCTTAAGGAGTCATATTCCAAGTTAAAAGATGACTCCAAAGATAAAGAAAAAAAAAATAAAGTAAATGAAACCAGAGTTCAAACTGTAAGACACAGAAAGCAAAGAACAAATCACCCCAAAATCTCAGCTAAAATAGTTTCAACATCTTAAATCAAGTAACAATGACCTCAGGCACATAAAGCAACTGACTTGCACTCTGCTGATACGTAACCAAAGCCCAAACGTCTGCTCTCCTGTGTGTTAGATCAGCATGCGTGGAACTACCATGCACAGAACCATGAGAAACTGAAGTGCAAGACATCTCCACCTGGCCCATTTAATGAAGTATGGCAAATGGTTGAGCAGGTTGAATGTGTAGAAGGAATATCGAGTAATCTCTGTCACAGTCCATACGACCAGAAAAAGAATAACGCTCTCCTCATTCTGGATCTGCAGAATTATAAAGAATCAACACTTTCTTCATCCTTAAGCTACTTTTCTGTGCAAATTGCAACAGACTTGGAACAGAATACATGGAACAGAACTAATATCTTGTAAAGAAAGAAAATTTTGGCATAAAAATAATATGCTGAAACCATTACCATGTACAGTTCTTTGTCATATGTATTTACTAATATACAGACATTTTGCAAACTGAGCAATCTTTATCCATTATGCAAATATCAAAATATAAAACCCTATAATTAAGCTTATTCCTCCTCTTTATTCCCTACCTGCATTTTCACTATGCTATCTAACTGTGTCCTCTTTTTATTTGTGGTTGATTTACTTGTTTATTTTCTTACTCCTTAAAACAGCAAGAGGAAAACAGTGCTACAGAAGATATGTTCCTTTCATAATCAGTTTTTACCCATTCTGCATTTCACTACTCGGTCTCCTAGACTTTCTCTTACTTTTTGTCTTCCTTCTTCCTCACCGTGTAATACACGTCTCCACGAAACTTTAGATAAAAGGAATTGCTCAGTATAATCTACTAAGTGAAACTTGGTCGCAGAAGACCAAATTTGGCAGACTTCAGGGAGCTGTAAGATAGCAAAGGAGCTGGAACATGGATCTCTAAACGAAGAGTAGTTGGTAGATCAGGAGCTTTGGGTAAACTCACTCAACGGTCCCGTTTAAGATTTAAGTTCTGAGTCATTAAACTGCCTCATCGGTAGGTAGCGCATCTCTCTGCTGTTTCAAAACATCAGTTCTTTTTCACTCTAAGTGAACAAATAAACAAAAGTCCCCAAATACAAAGAAGGCACATGGGGATCTATTACAAACACTACCTTCTGAGAAGAAGAATTACACGCAAGTAATTTTCTTTTCTTTAAAAGGGAAGGAATTTTGTAATACACTTCCATGCCTGAAGGCTGAAAAGCTCCAGGGATGTCTGTGAAATAAAATAAAGTAACAGAAGTTTTGTTAAAATTACAAAAAAGGGAAACTATTTTTAAATAAAATGCAACACGGTGACAAAGCTTAATACATCTCAAAGATGCTGAAAATGCACAACTCTGTCAAAAGTCAAGAAGAATTGTAAGTGCTCATCACCTCATAAATTCGCCCTCAATGTGTCAGTCAAAGAAGGTGCACTTTTAGTGAAAGGATTTCACCAACATCACAAAAGAAAAGGAGATATAAAAATGCCAGCAAACTCACAAACAAAGAGCAACAACTGAAGTGCAAAGTCGTCCAAACAAATAAGCAAAGGGAGAGACAGAATTAGACTGTTTTTAGCCTCATGCGATTAGAGACAAACATTGATAACCCAAACTCGGATTCACGTCACAGTGCTAAATCCAAGCAGAAGAGCTTTAAATAAGAATGTAGAGAATTCCTATCTGTTGCCTTGCAAATCTCCAGTCAAGTAGAGAGATCTGGGTCTGGCTATTATCACTAACAAGCCTCTTACCACCTAAAGTGACCCTGAACATTCATGTCTGCTAAGCAGTAACAGCGTGAAATACAATCAGACATACATTCAGCTGTATTTTTTTCTTGGACACAGCTTGACCTACTGTACTGAAGATAAAGGAAACAAAAGAAATGACTGGATATGCTAAAGATTTAATCCACTGCAGATACTAACAAAATGGCAAAATGCAGTGCTATATTCCAGCATTCATATAAACATTCAATATAAACAACTTGTTAATCTTGGAGACATTTTCCCTTACGGGAAAAATGAAAACACTTAGCTTACCAAAAAGGAAAAAAAAGCAACGAAAAGCCTATTCCATGTTAAGAAAAGCGACAGTAAAGTAAAAGCTGAAGTGCAGAAAACAAGTCCTCTGTGAACTGAAACAAAAGGGATTTGACAACTGAGGCAGGTGCTATGAAATCTCATCAGCAGAAAGGCATATGCCATCTGCTGGTGAGACAGTTTAATGGCTCAGCTTTTTAAGTTTAAAGACATTCAGGAGCACAGACTCAAAATCTCGATTTTTACGTGCCCTTCACAGAAAGCAGATCTCAGAAACTGAACTGAATGTCCTATCTACTAGCTGTAAGCAGTCTGCTGGTTTCATTCTGCTAACGACAAATCACTAGACTTACAATAACCACCTACAGCCAGGCAAATAAAACTACTGTCATTTATACAGGACTTTAAGCATCACTGTGGCATGCTGGATGACTTGATATATTTTTAAGGAAAACAATGCAGTATGCAGGCCATCAAATACTAATATTACCATAACATTAAAATCTTGAGAATGTTCCTAAAATAAATTGCAAAATCACAACCATGTTTATCCAGGTAAATTCCATTTAAGACATATTTCCATTTAGATTAATTCAGTAAGTGCTAATTTAAGTTTTTAAAAGGGAATCGGTAACACTGTGGTAGATTTGCTGGTAAATAATAGCAGTAGCCATTGATCTCACTTAGGCAGACCATAGCCGTCATGATGCCAAAGTCAGGGCTGATGCACAGTTAAGACCCAGACCCAGTCTCCTGGGTAGAAACGCATAAATTCCATCCTGTAACCCCAACTTCCAAAATCACACACAAGTATGTAAGTATTCTCTGGAGGAATGTCACTAATTTTTAAACCGGTCTTCCTGGTGAAACGAGAACTGTATTAATAGCTTCTCCTCAAAAACAATCAAAACACAACTTGCTCACGCACATACCTGTTTTATACTATGTGCAATGAACCACACCATGAAGATTCTTGAACTCACTTGGACCCCAGTCACAAGCACAGATGTGCGAACTATTCCTTAAAAAGAGAAATATGTTATCTCTGTTCCACAATTCATGTTTTAATCAGTTACAAGAAAAACTAAAACAAAGAACTCACCAACTGCACAGTGGACTACCTGTAAATAAAAATAAGTTGGAGGTTACTGATGTACTGTATGTTACTATCTACACTATAAACATGGCCTTTTGATATTAATATCAACGAAGGCTTAATTCTGAAGGAGAACTGGTTTTTTTTTTTCTCCAACTAACAGACTTTAAAAGACATGGTAGAGCCCTGCCAACTAATGCTGTGATGGGCTCAGTATCTGATCTGTCCAAACACATGAAAGAGATATATTTTCCTAATTAATTGTATACATTACATATTTAGATACTGACAAATCATTTATTTCTTCAACTACTGACCTTCCCTTCCATTATCTTATTCAAAGAAGAATTTTATGGGACAGTGTGGAGGGAATCATATAAAGGATGCTAAAGGCATAGGCATTTTAAAATATTCTGTATTCATTATGGATTAATAACATTATTATAATTTTGCCAATGACAGCTACAAAACTTCAGATTTATTGTTTTTTCTGATCAGTAATGTTTAGCAAATAGAGTGCTTTTCATTATTTTGGCAGATTTGAGTAGAATTACTTATTGTGAGAGTTTAGTTGCATAAAAGCCTATATATAGCTGGACAGATGATTTTAATAGTTCCTTCAACTACAGATGTTATAGGCAAATTGAGAAAAAAAGTTAAAACGTAGATAGGCACTCTTTGCTGTGCCTGGGAAAGAACTGTAAGTGCTCAATACACCCAACAGTTTCATTCTACAGAGGTACCATAAACTGAGACCACGAGTGCGTAGTTACCACAAGTTGTATTATTTAAAGAATACTTTGTACAACTTGCACAGACCCTGTTTTAACGGATTGCATAGGGCATATGAATCCAGTCTGGAAACAAGCAGAAGCAGGAAAGGCAAAGAAGGATAATGAGTCCAGTAAAATGAGTAAGAGGGAAGCTATCATCTCTGGAGATGGAGACAAGGTATCTACCAAGCTAGATGGTTGATCTGCTGGCTGAAATGCCTTCAGAGATTTTGGCTTTTGAGTTAAAGATTCTCAAATCAAAGCAGTTCCCAGGCAGTATTTGTTTTAAAGAAATATCAGAACTAAGTTTGGAAAAAAGTGCCCATTTGTTTCAACTAGTCACCTTGCCCCCCCCCAAACCTTCTTTAAGTAATAAAGTTAAAAGGACTTTAAGTACTAATATAATATTTTGATATTGAATTCAGGTTAATCATGTGTTTTGCCTATCATACGCAGCATCCAGTAAAGCAAACTAATGTTTAAAATTTACCTCAAGCAAAGCAAATGTCTGGAAAAATTTAAGCGTCTTTTGAACGCTTCTGAATAAGCCTCTATGTGTTCCTTTCTGTATATAAAACCGCACGATGGCAATACCTAATACCAGCCACCTACAAAAGAAAGAGAATGGATACATTTCAAATTAGAATTCTAAAAATATCCATCCACTGTAAATAATTTAGTAGAATATTTTTCTTCACAGAATATCTTTGCTTCTTCACTTGTCGGTTTTCTTAGGAGATTATTAAAAATATACTTAGACATAAATATTACAATGTTATGTAAACATTACACTCTTTTATCTCTTTACTTGTAACAGGATAGAGAATTACTTGTTTACTTTCAGGGGGCTGACTTGAATTGAGGGGACTCCCCAAAACCACGGGTCCATCAGACTTTTCACTAGCAGTGACTATATATTTTTACTATTAAATCCTCATGCACCTGTACTGTGAATTACTGTTACTTGAAGACACGTGATGAACTCAGCACTGAAGCCACCCTTCTGGGTCGCAGGTTTGTATAAGTAAAGGACCAGAACCTGTGCACATCATTTTTACGTTTTTCATGGCCCGTCAACTCATAATTTTCAGAACTGACTAGTGATCTGAACGCTTCTGGTTGTGATTGTCCAGCTGAAGTTACCATTACGAATCAGTTTTCAAAAGTGTTGAGAAGTCATCTTTGAAAATCAGATTCCAAAGTGATGAAAGATGGGTACTCTATGCTCCTGACTTACAGAGGATGGTATATTTAAGTAGCACATTTCATGGTGCTGGCTACTTTTTTTATATTTTTTTAAGGAAACTGAACAATGCTACCAACTGATAACCCTTTCAATGTAAAAGCAAGTAAGTAGCAGTATCTTTTAATCAAACTGGAATTTGATATAGAATAGATTGAGATCTCAAATGGAAATTGAGACAAAAAAAACCAACTTCCGAACTGTGGTGGGCTGACCCCCACCACCCAACCCAGACCCAGTACAATAACCCAAGGCATGTGTAATTCCTTCCAAATAATTATATCCATGTTTATATAATTAAGATTTTGAAAATAGTGCACTATATGTTCCATCTTTAATGCAGAGCTATACCACATTCTTACAAACATCATGCTAGCGATCTGCCTTGAAACTTCAGGATTCAATCCACAAAGACTAAGAAAGTACAAAAATTCTTTAATATAGACTTACAGGCATAAACAGAGGTATGAATGACTATTTCGAGAGTTAGAAATAAAAATACAAAAATTACAATAACTTCAGCTTAACTTCTTGTCTGATGATATTGGGAACAATTATTCAGTCCTCCCATTCTAACTAAAGCCCTAGCAAGCACGCTGTACATGAGCTCTAGCTAAGCAAGGGCCCAAGTGACAAAGCAGAGGGGTCTGAGAAACACTCAGAGGCAGATTCAGAGAGCGTATAAACATTCGGTGAAATATTATATAAACATTTGGATAAATATTTAACCTCTCTCCTGTTCTTATGCTCTTCTCTAAGCATAAGGTACTGGCTAACATTGGAAATGGGGCACCAGGAAATAGAGACCTTTGGTCAGACCCGCTGTGCTGTAACGGCATGAGGTTCGCATGGATCGTGACAGCTCCCTGCTCGCCTCGGATGGCATGTACTTCAGTACCAGCCCCTCACACTCAGTGCCTACTGCTACGCAGTCACTTGGCTTGGCCCATTCCAGCACTTCATGATTGCATTTCAAACTCACATAGAGCTGGTCAGGCCTCCCTACATGGTAGGAGCGATTCCCCTCCTTGACCCCTTCTACTTCAAGCCCATGAATCTGATCAGCCAGAGCTCCAAAATTTGCCCCTACAAGTGTTACTTAGATTTTATAATGGATTTTAAATCTGAGTGCATTAATTTCAGGTTGTCTCCGACCACAGTGGAAACAAGGTATTACCGCAATATCACTGGTGGTCCTTCACAGTAAAGCTGCCCTGTTTTATACTGCAGCGTTTGACAAGAGGAAGGTGACACTGAGTTTACATCCAGCTGGCAGCACGAATGGTGACAGCAACAGCCCTGTCCTAGCCCTACCCTGAGAAGTCATAATACATCTAATCTAACAAGGCATTTTCTGCACCTCATTCTGTAACAAAAGGGCTGCAGAGAGAGTAAACTTGGACTATGCTCAGAAGCAAAGACTGCCAATATCTTTCTTAAATAAATTTTTATTTGGACATGAATTTCTGTGGATCCATTTATTTAGTTGTCAGTGGCTTTGACTTTGGATCTCAGGAAAGCCAGTGTACTGAGTATTGCACATCACCAGGAAATGGCAAACGCTTTCTGTAATAAAGGCAGCATTTCCAGTTGGGACTTTCAGTAAGATTGGGTACTGATCTTTCATTTTGGTCCCTTAAACTTTTGTTAGAAAGAAAGATAAGCTGCAATATTCTACTAGGATGGTTGTTAACATGCAATTATGTATTAGCTTGTTAAAACTCTAGGAACACTTTGCTATATTGCACTGTCTGGACAAATGGACAAACATACTGTTCTTGTGTAGCACCCCTGTTAAGTATTGCTCTATTTCAAATGCTTATTTTTCTCTTAAACTGTATCCGTAAAAGATTGTAAGAATGTGTTCCTATCTCTTATTTCTCTGTTCCCACATAAAATATGCAATTTTGCATGTATTTTTTTTGCATGTCCCTTTGATATTAATGGAAGATGGGACAGAAGGAAGTGGGAGATACTGAACCAGCACCTAAGGTCAAAACTAATACAGTTCGATAATCTTCTACAGACATAAAAGTCAGTCGCAAGAGTCAGTGTTCATTAGCAAATTCACACATGGAGCACGAGGCTGGGAATTCAGCGAGGTAACATTAACTTGCCAGCTAGAAAAAAATTACATTGAGTAAAAGCACTTTTTAAAAGGTGCTGCTGCAGTATATGAACAGACTTGAATATGTGTTCATGATCTACACACGCTAGTGAGAAGAAAGCCATTATGGTCATGTTCCTGGCTTTCTGCATCAGTGTGTGAACTCCTGCTTCAACTACGATGTATCAGTTTTGCTCTACGGGATTCAAATGGCAGACAGTTCACCCACTGGTAGCCAAGGTAAAAACTGTTCTCATGATGAATGTCAGCGTAGAAGTAATAAAATCGTTGGTTCTCAGTTTTAAGCACATTGAAATGAATAGTTTGGGGTGTGTTTTTTTTCCCAAGAGTTAGTGAACAGGACAAATTTTCAAGCAGTGAAATGATGTGCTTCAAGCACTAAACAACATAAACCCGAGCGCTCTTATGGTCTGTTATCCAAAATAAACGCCCGCTTTCCTCAAAGTTAAGCGTGGCACTACGGAGCACTAGCTCAAACGCGCCCCGTGGGCTACCACAGCTCTCTCCCCCTCCGCCCACGCCCCGCTCATCACCAAATGCCGGCTGGCGCCGAGCACCGCGCTGGTCTCTGCACGCTTCTGCCTCGCGGGGCGCCGGCGCGGGCTCTGCTCGCGTGGATCCGGGGCTCGCGGACCTGAACGAGCTACCAGACGGTCACCC